TCAAAGACTCTGTTAATGGCTCTGAAATTACCTCAACCAATTTCCAGCTTTGGCAACTTGAAAACATCTAGCTTTAAGTAATCCCTAACTTATTCTGCTATTCCTCTAGGCTGTTTGTCTCCATCCCTATCTTCACCGCCAAACGTGCTTGTCATCTGACAGCTGCCTCTGTTTGTGAAGGCTGAAGTAAAAAAAGCATTAAATACTTTAGCTTTTTCTGCATCATCCATAACTAGATAGTTTTCTAAACTCCCTAAGGGACCTATGGTTTCTTCGGTCTTTGTAACAGGGTCCCGCCCCAGGGAGCCCCCACAGTCCCTGTCACCTTTACTATTTTTGGGCAATCTCCCCTTCAACTCTCCTGCCACACCTTGATGTAATTATGCTTTTAGAAAAAGGGAGACTGACCCAGGGATCCCCAAGCAAGATCTCATACACACCTATCACTGCTCATCATCTTAAAGGCTAAATACATGGCTTCATCTCCCCTTCTAGCCATGCCCATGCCCATGCCTTGCAGATATTACTAATCATTGGGCATTAAGCTCCATTTTCCAATCCAGTCAATCTCTTATCCATGGGCCTCCAGTCCCCCTCATTACAGGTCTTCAGCCCCAGTGTCAGCTCCAGTCAATGTGGACCTTTAAACCCAGAACAGCCTCTGCCACTGTTGGGGCATCCAGCCCTAGTGCTTTTAACTGTCCCCACCCCTCCCGGGGCTTGGGCCTCTCTACCTCCCTCTTGGTTGCAGCCTGAATTCTCCACCCCACCGGGGCTCAGGCCTCTGTCGCCTTAGTGGATTCCACCCGTCCTGGGCTACAGGCCTTTGGCCTTACTTGTTCTCACCCCTTCCAGGCAATGGGTGCCTGACCCTAGATCTCACCCCTCATGGGCCATGGGGCCCTGACCTTGCTTGCTTTAATCATTCTGCAGGTGTGGCTCTGCTCCTTGGCCTTGGCCCCTATTCCTCAGGCCTTGGTCCTGCTCCTGGGCCAATTGAAGCCTCTACCACCCCTACAATCTCAATCCCTAAAGCACTGGTGTTGCCTACCTCAGCTCAGGTGTTAGTCAGGAGCTTTGATGCAGCCCTTCTGCCCAAGAGCTCTTCTCTCCATGGCTTCCAGGTCAGACTGCCTGTCCAGCTCAGGCCCTGGGCTTATATCCTCCAAGCTTGGCCCCTTTTGGGTCATGTGTCTCCCTTCATTGGTCTCTGCCTGCTTCTCCTGCAGCCTCCCTTCCCTTAAGCTCCCTGCTACAGTCTTCCTCTTACTTGTGACATGCTTGTAGAATCCATTTTTATTGTTTTTCAGGTGTTTTGCCAGCTGCATTGCAAATTGTTCCCCGGCTTTCCTAATCTTCTCCTTGCATGTGCATGTCTTATACTCTTCACTAGAACTATGACTAGGTTTCCACTTTTTGTAGGATTCCTTTTGGAGTTTCAACTTGTTGAAGAGATCGTTGTCAAGCCAGGCTGAGCTCCTCCTGCACTTCCCATTTTTCTGTCATATTGGGATAGCTTGGTCCTCAGCCCTTAAAAGGACCTTCTTAAATGTAGAGCCAGCTCTCTTGGACTTCTTCACCTCTCAGACTTGCTCAGCAGGGGATCTTATCCACCAGTTCCCTGACTCTGCTAAGTTCTGCTTTTCTGAAGTTGAGTGTCCTTATTCTGCTGTTCTCTGTCCTTCCTCCCCTTAGGATCTTGAACTGTTATCATTTTGTGGTCACTGGGCACATCTACACATGCACTTAGTTTGTGCATTGAGGGAGCGATCCTCAATGCACAAACTAAGTCTATTCCATCTCGGAGGAAAGGCAGCAAGAGGGCACAGCAGCCCCCTGGCTCTCCAGGGACCTAGCAGACCTCCTGAGGCTAAAAAGAAAGGCCTACAAAGGATGGAGGATGGGAGTCACCTCCAAGGAGGATTATTCTGCACTGGTCCGGTCCTGTAGGGAGCAGACCAGGAAAGCCAAGGCTGCAACTGAACTCCAACTAGCTTTGAGCATCAAGGACAATAAAAAGTCCTTTTTCAGATATGTGGGGAGCCGGAGGAAAAGCAGGGGCAACATTGGATCTCCGGTAAGTGTCCCATGCCAGCCTCGGTGCCTCTGTGGCATTGTTTTAAAGCATGCGTGGCCACGCACACGTGGAGCTGAGAGGGAACCTTGCTGAACCAGATGGGGCAACTGACAACTGACGCCCAGGAAAAAGCCAACCTATTAAATAGGTACTTTGCGTCAGTCTTTCATCAGTCCCGTGGGACGCCCATGCCCGCTATGGGACAGGGAAGTCCGGGTGAAGGTGATCCCCTGCCCTCCATTAATGCTGACTTCATGAAGGAACATCTTGAGAAGCTGGATACCTTCAAGTCAGCCGGCCCTGACAATCTTCACCCCAGGGTACTCAAGGAGCTGGCGAGCATCATAGCCCAGCCTCTAGCACGGATCTTTGAAAACTCTTGGCGCTCTGGTGTAGTGCCAGAAGACTGGAAGAAGGCCAATGTGGTGCCTATCTTCAAGAAAGGGAGGAAAGTGGATCCGGCTAACTATAGGCCCATCAGCCTGACTTCTATCCCGGGGAAGATCTTAGAAAAGTTTATTAAAGAGGCCATCCTTAATGGACTGGCCAACGCCAACATCTTAAGGGATAGCCAGCACGGGTTTGTTGCGGGTAGGTCTTGCTTGACCAATCTCATTTCCTTCTACGACCAGGTGACCTATCACCTGGACAAGGGAGAAGAGATTGATGTCATATATCTTGACTTCAAAAAAGCCTTCGATCTGGTGTCCCATGATCGCCTCTTGGAGAAACTGGCCAATTGTCGCCTTGGGTCCTCCACGATCCACTGGCTGGAAAATTGGCTCCGGGGTCGGACCCAGAGGGTAGTAATCGATGGAAGTCACTCATCGTGGTGTCCTGTGACCAGTGGGGTCCCCCAAGGCTCTGTCCTTGGACCCATACTGTTCAACATCTTCATTAATGATGTGGACACTGGAGTCAGAAGCGATCAGAACTGGCCAAGTTCGCCGATGACACCAACCTCTGGGGCAAAGCATCCACACCAGAAGACAGGCAGGTTATCCAGGCTGACCTGGACAGTGTACTCGGCCTTGGTGAGGCCGCAGCTGGAGTACTGTGTCCAGTTTTGGGCTCCACAGTTCAAAAAGGATGTGGAGAAGCTTGAGAGAGTCCAGAGAAGAGCCACGCGCATGATCAAAGGTCAGGGAAGCGGACCCTACGATGACAGGCTGAGAGCCCTGGGGCTCTTTAGCCTGGAAAAGCGCAGGCTCAGGGGTGATCTGATGGCCACCTACAAGTTTATCAGGGGTGACCACCAGTATCTGGGGGAACGTTTGTTCACCAGAGCGCCCCAAGGGATGACGACTAGGTCGAATGGTCATAAACTACTACAAGACCGTTTCAGGCTGGACATAAGGAAGAACTTCTTTACTGTCCGAGCCCCCAAGGTCTGGAACAGCCTGCCACCGGAGGTGGTTCAAGCGCCTACATTGAACACCTTCAAGACGAAACTGGATGCTTATCTTGCTGGGATCCTATGACCCCAGCTGACTTCCTGCCCTTTGGGCGGGGGGCTGGACTCAATGATCTTCCGAGGTCCCTTCCAGCCCTAATGTCTATGAAATCTATGAAACTGCAGAGTAGACTAATTAAGTGTGGAGTAAAGCATCACCATCTACATGTGTGACAATATTAGGGCACCGTAAACTAATTAATGCTGTAGTAACATAGTACTGTTGGGGACAGTACTATCTTATGCTAGGGTAATTTAATGAGATTAAATGCACATGTAGATGCTGACCACAGGCATAAATTGTGCTCAGTCAGCCCTGCCAGCAGGGGCCAAACTCCTAGTCACACAGCTCTGCACTTTGAGCACCCTTGTGCCACAGCCAGCCCCTCCGTCACCTGCCGCTGCCACCCTGCTTACACCCTGTGAGCAGCCCTGGTGTAAACTTCTCCACCCTGGCTCGAATTGCTGCTGTCCCCAGTACACATGTAGATGCTGCACCCAGGAGTAGTTTACTCCAGCTCAAACAGCTCCAGAGCTTATTGCTTTGAATGAATTCCATGTGCAGATGCACCCACTGTCACATAAGCTGCCTTCCCCTTCACGGTCTCAATCAATTCCTCCCTGTTTGTGAGCAGAAAGTTGAGAAGAGCTTCCCCCCTAGTTGGCCTCTCTACCATCTGCGTGAAAAAGCTATCGTCAACACACTCCAAGAATTTGCTGGACTGCTTGTGTGCTGCTGTGTTTTCCTACCAGCAGATGCCCCGATAATAAGTCCCCCATGAGAACCAAGCCCTATGATTTGGCAGCTTCTGTCAATATTTAAAGAAGGCCTCATCCACTTCCTCCCCCTGGGTTTGGTGGCTTGTAGCAGATACCCACCATGACATCCCCATTGCTTCTCTCCCAGAGGCTTTCACCATGCCTGCCTTCCATTTTATACTGCACCTCTGAACACATAAACATAGCCTTTATATATAGGGCAACACATCCACATTTTTCCCCTGCCTGTTCTTTCTGAACAAACTATACCCATCTATGACCATAATCCAGTCATGTGAACTATTCCGCCGTGTCTTCACAATCACAATTACATTATAATTCTGTGCTTGTACTAGGACCTCCAATTCTTCCTGTTTATTCCCCATGCTTCTCACATTAGTTTATAAACACTTCAGGTATCTAGCTGACAGTCCAATCTTCTGCTCGAGAACATTGCTAAGGCTTTCACTGTTGCTTCTCCTTAGTAAGGTTTTATCCAGGTCCTCTGGCTCTTTACTTACCTCTGGACTTTTGTCTCCATCCCCTGGTGAACCTAGCATGGACACATACTGCAAAACACTTTAATATATCTTTGTCCTTGCCCAGCTTGGTAAGAATATTTCCTCTTAAATCACATTAAATTGCACATCTTAGTCCATTTCCCCCAACCCCTTTCCCTCTACATTTCACTCCCCATCCCCCAATACTTACTTTTCCAGGATGGACATAATAATTGGAGGTAGAACCAGTATAGGCATTGGCAGGACCACTCTAGTCAAGGCTGTCTCTAACAGTGCCTGAAAGTTAAGAAAAATGTGTTTGTATGTATAAAAAAACCCACTTAGAAATGTCCCAGTATTTGCCTCCATTGAGCAGTCTACCCAGAGGGAAAGAAATAGCATCCCTGACATTTCCATGGTATGCATACCGGTTGAAATATACTTTCCAACCTTTATACCAGTTACTTGCATATACTAGATTTTTGCCCTTTTACTGCAAATTATGGGCCTGGATCTGTGTTCAGTTATACCAATGCAATTGAGCCCCACATATTACATTATTAACTCTGCATGTGGGGGGGGGGTACACCTCCATGCTTTACACTTCAGATTAAAATCCACTTGGAAACAACATGTTTCAGTTTGACAGTCAGAGGAAGCTCAGAGACAAAGCTACATCAGAACAGGAGAATAAAAGTCACAAAGCAGTCATGAGCAGATGGCAGAGTTTAGAAGGTGCCAGGGGGGAGTAAGCCAGGTGTGAGCAAGTGAATAAAAACAGCTGGGGTCTCCTCCTAAAGGCTTGGTTGATAGTTGTTAATACAGTTTGGCACGGCAAGGGTTAAACCACGATTCAGCTAGAAAACCACCTTTCCTCATTTGTAAAAAGGTGTAAGTTATTTCTCTGCTTCCTATTCAACACCAGCTTCTGGGCACCTCCACACAGAAATCCTCAGACAGGAAGGAATAATCAGATCTCACTTAGAAGAATTCAGCAACTTCAAGGCCAGAGAGGATTATCTAATCTTTATGATCCTCTAATCTAATCCTTGCATAACACAAGCCCAGATCTCCTGGCTGGTGTAAAGCAGTACTTCTCAACCAGGGTGATGTGCGATCCTTTTAAGGGTGATGTGCAATGTTAGCATTGGTAGGTGCGCAAACACCTACACTTTTCACAGGATAATCACAAGATATACCCAGCGATTTCAAACAGTGTCAGAACCATTCTGCCCCGTTGTGGGCTTGCTAAATTCTTTGCAACAAGAGAATTGCTCTATTATTTTTCCGTAGGCGAAAAACAAATGAAAGCTAAGAGCTGGCATTTTCTGAGGGGAGCCTGAGAACCACCAATGTAAAGACTTCAAGAAAAGGCCAGCCTACCATGTTCTGAAGGAAACCGATCCAGTATTAAATCATAGTTTCATAGTTGATAGGGTCAGAAGGGACCTTGACAGATCATCAAGTCCGACCCCCTGCCATGGCAGGAAAGAGTACTGGGGTCAAACGACCCCGGCCAGGCATTCATCCAGCCTCCTCTCAAAGCCCCCCAGGGTAGAAGCCAGCACCCCTTTGCTTGGAAGTTGGTTCCAGATCCTAGCTACTCTGACTGTGAAGTAGCGCCTCCTGATTTCTAGTCTGAATCTACCCTCTGCCAGCTTGTGACCGGTATTTCTAGTCACTCCTGGTAGTGCTCGGGGGAACAGAGACTCCCCCAATGCCTGCTGGTCCCCCCTGACTAGTTTGTAAATGGCCACTAGATTCCCCTCAGCCTTCTCTTGTGGAGGCTGAACAGGGTCAGGTCCCGTAGCCTCTCCTTGTAGGGCCTGCCCCGGCCTGACCAGTGCCGCGTAGAGGGGGAGGATCACCTCCTTGGCCCTGCTCGAGATGCATCTGTGGATGCACGACAAGGTGCGGCTGGCCTTCCTGACCGCTTCTCCACACTGTCGGCCCATGTTCATTTTGGCATCAATAATGACTCCAAGATCCTTTTCTGCCTCTGCACTGACGAGAAGGGAGTTCCCCAGCCTGTAGGTGTGCTGCTGGTTCTTCCCCCCCAGGTGCAGCACCTTGCACTTGTCAGTGTTGAATCCCATCCTGTTCTCATTCGCCCACCCCTGTAACCTGTCTAGGTCCGATTGCAGCCTATTCTTCCCTTCTAGCGTGCCCACATCCCCCCACATGCTCACTACTAAAAGCTCAAACCTTATTCTGAATCTGAAGCTGTCGAGTTTCACTTTTAGTTTCTGCACCCCCTTACACCTTTTTCTGCTCTGCTGTTCAGACAACAATCAGAACTGTGGCTGCTATTTAGACTGACCCTTTTCACTCGCACCCTTGCTCAGCCCCATCAAGTGGTCTGATTCAAATGCTCCAAAGTCACTTCTAGGCACCTCATTTTTTACGTCTAGGTTGGTGTACCTCAAAGTCCCTGGATATGGGAATACCCTGTTGTGTTTGTCTGTACACATCCTGTGTGATGGATAAGACCTAGGGCTTCCAGTTATTTTTTTTTTAAAGAAGCTGAGATGCTTCTTCTGCTTTAGAAAGCATCCAAGCAGGGTTCCTACAGCCAAGGGTTTCATGAGACCTAAAAAGCCAGCCCTGTGCATACATGTGCTTGTGGCTACATGGAGCATGATAAGTACATACGTGTTTGGCAGCAATTCTGGAAGATCCAACGACGTTTCTGTTATTGTCCAGGACGTCAATCCCCTCTTCCAGCTCTGTGTGCCTCATCAGGACTACGTTGCAGATATTGGCACTAGCTGAGAGCAAGAAAAGCACAAAAAAGGTCAGTACTGCTTCCATAAGGATCCAGGGGACACTCGTCCACCCTGACACTCCAGTTGAAAATCAGAGGACCAGTGCCTGCTCGCAGGAACATCCATTTGGTCAGCAGGGCTGTCCAGGTGTGCACTCTGACCTCCACAGTGGGGTTTCTGAAGGTGGAGGGGTTCACACCTGTAATTAGCATTACACCTGGTTACTGAGAGGAGGAGAATGCACTGAAAGCATGCACTTTAACTGACAAAATAATTCGGCGTGATAGAAACCTGTTGGAAACAATTTCATTGAAGTGCAGGTATGAAATTTAGGTGTCTTAGATCTGCTCTGATGCACACATGCAAAGTTTGGGGGCAGCTAACTAAAATAGGTTTACTTCACATTTATGTACACCTAGTTAACCTGGTTCCTGTTGAACTGCCACCATGAGTTGATAGCCTTAAATGAAAAGCAGATGCTTACATTTGGTTTATTTTTCTTAATTTAAGACAGCAACTTGCCTGATACTCAGATTAGGTATTCTCCAAACCCCCAGCGCTTAATATCTTGATTTTCAATCGACAGCTAGCCTTAGTAATAAACCACTCCCCTTGTACTCACACCAAACCTGGGAGAGCAGTCCTCTGCTGAGATTTATGGCTAATTAGGTCACCAGCCTTGAATTCTCCTCTCTGGCCTTAACTATGTGTCCCTGCAGTTTTCTCCACACCATTCAAAATGCTGCTCTTAGTCTCATCTTCCTGAGCTGTGTTTGGACAACATCTCCCTTTGGTTGAGTCCTTTGCTGATGCATTGAACAGAAGCTTCTCACTTGTACTTTAAGGTCTGGGACAGACATTGCATAAACCGGTTTGAGCCAAATCAGTAAAGTCTCATACTACATTCAACCAGGTTAATCTCAAACGGTTTTTGGCCATTTTGAAACTGGTTTATGTGCACTGAACATCTGTTCTGTCCCAGGTTTAAACCAGTTTCTGATCACTTAAACCGATTTATGCGTAACATCTGTCCCTAACCTAAGGCCCATCATAACAGAGCTCAGCCACATTATCTTAGCCAGTGACTTTGCCTCGTGCTGCTTCCTACCTCCATGTAAAAGAAAAGTCTCCCCACTTCCAACCCTCTCCCAAACTTGCCTCTGCCGTGCAGCCTACACCCCTGCTGCCAGACAGTGAGTAGACGGCAGAGACTACTGATTATTGCACAAGGCGATGCTCATATTCCTATGCTCCCATCAGCCCCCCTTGACTTATCTGCCCCTTGTATCCATCACAGACTAAGGTCACCAGCTCACTAGGACAAAACATGCTGCAAAACTTCTAAAGATTTTGAACACCTGACATGGAAGCAAAACATTGAGGAGCTTTCCATGAAAAGCCTGAGAAGGAGCCCCAATCACCAAGAGCTCTGGCATTCCCCCACACCCCACAGGTGTGTCTTGCCCACTGGGCTCTTCCCGGTTTTGGCACAGGGCGCGCCCAGCCTCTCCTGATGGAGCAGCTCCATTGTGCATGGGTAATAAAAGACTCGGAGCAGGTCCCCAGCCCCCAGCTCAGATGAGTTCTGCAAGCTGGACTTCTTTCAAAATTCACTTCTCCTTTCTTGCCTTGTAGGTTAGACCTTCTATGACCGGAAAGTTATACCTATCTCTCTTTGACCCAATGAACAATATATTGGGCGTGCCTACACGTTGCTGTATGGCAACGTTACTGCGCCATGTTTTAGGACTTCCTTTTGGTGTAGTGCAGTAACCACCTGTACTGCGCCGTATGGGTGGTGCACGCAAAGATTTCTCTGTGACATCGCCATAGCAGCGCACTACAAGCGGGGAGTGTGTCACTACGAGGACATAGCTAGCAATCATATGTAGACCCACGCGATTGCTGTGGTGCCGTAGCACACTGTATGGGGACATAGTGCGTTGCTACATCGCTGTAGGGCAATGTATAGATGCGCCCACTGTGCTATGCTAATTCACCAATAAAAAGCTAAATAGCGTGGTGGCAAGGGTACTCGCATGGAAAGAGGGTGATCCAATTAACCCATTGACAACCCCATGGCAATTGGCTAGACTCGCATGACCTCTCTCTCGCTGGCCAAAGACAAAGATATATTAAAGTGTTTTGCAGTACATGTCCATGCTGGGTTCACCAGGGGATGGAGACGAAAGTCCAGATGTAAGTGAAGAGCCAGAGGACCTGGATAAAAACTTACTAAGGAGAAGCAATAGTGAAAGCCTTAGAAATTCAGCTCCAGGCCTGAAAAACCTTCCTAACAAAAGGTTCCTCAAAACTGGTATGTGGGTGCAAAAAGTTCCTACTTCCCAGTGAACACCTGTTTCGATGATCAACACCAGGCATGTATGAACCCCTTCCAAAAACGTGTTGCCTGCAGCACTCACTGGGTTAACGTGGTTAAAGGATATCACTGCATGGCACATAACAAACATCGAGTTTTTGGGGGATGGTGGGTGGGTAAGCCCCATGGCAATGCGGCTCTCTGTAATGAGAGCTGATTGGTGGCAATACATACTGCTTACACTCAAGAACAGGAGGAAGCCATACAGGCGGGTACAGCACATGTACACCACATGCACACACCCAGGACTAAGGAGCTAGAGGACTGGTTGCGATGGTGATGCAATGGCACCAAGAAGACATCACTCAAGACAACCTGGTGAAGGCATCAGGGAGTTTCAACACCTGGTCCCTCCTTCCACATGCTTGACACCAGGTACTCACAAGCTCTAAGGCTATGGACAGAAATTACACATAAACCAGCATTAAGCAATCGGAAACTGGCTCAAATTTGTAACATGACAGAAGTTCAGTGTGCATAAACTACTTTCAAAATGGCGGAAACTGGTTTAAGATAAATCTGGGTGGATGTAGTATCAGGCTTAACTGATTTAGGTTAAAATCGCTTTATTGAACTTGTCCCAGATCCTCTCTAGATTCAAGTTAACTCACAGTTTCACCGCAGGAAGCTTTGCAGGGTGCACGGGCCCAAGCTGTCTACTCCAGCCGAGCAGGGAGGTGTGCTCTAGCACCCCTCGGCTTCTGGCCTAGGCCACTAAAGGTATGTGGCTGCATTTCTGGAATCAAAAGTGAAAGTCTATTCATTTGCTTATCAGTTTAATCTACACAATTTAGGCCAACCTGCAAAGACTGAATCAATTCAGCCTCGGGCTTTTTGACTGTCTGTACTTTAACTTAAATGCTCCAAGACTTGACCGACAGGGAATGAGTTTGATCCCTCTCTGCTCGGCATGTATGCATCAGGATTTGCAGTGCCATTTGCAATCAATGCTACTTAGCTTGGTCTACAGTTGAGAGATGAAGGAAGCAGCATCGTAGGGATGGGGGCAGCCCTCCGTGCTTCCGGGGCTACAGAGGCAAGTCAGAAAGGGAAGGAAAGGAGCGAGGTTTCTCTACGCAGGAGATCTTGCTCACAATGCTTCTAAATAGAAAGGAGCTTAAATAGCAAGGATAGGGAGAGACGGCACTGTGAAATAAGGGTAGCCACACTTTCACATCTTTACAAAGCCCTTTAAAGCAGCTGAAGGTACCAAGTGGGGGGGAGAGGGGCGCAGATGGATATCTATACTGCATCCCTGGGACTTCAGAGCAGCAAGCTCAGCACATTTTCCCCAGCATTAAAGATGCCTGAAGATATATTTAGTTAAGAAGTTAAAATCCAAAGGTTTGGGGTTGTAAGGTACACCGGGAGAAGGTCAAGGTGAACAAACTTTGTGCTGGTTTTGTAAAACAAGTTCCCATCTTCCTGCCTGCCTTTGAAACATCAGCACCTACATGAAAGATTACAAACAATAGCCATCAACTCCGGTATACAAAGAAGTGCAGAACGAGCCTACAAATGAGATACAAAGCCCGTTCCTGCTCTTATAACAGCTCAATGGCAGTGAAGTCAGCATTAGGCTCATGAATGAGAAATCTACTGAAAATCTAACGAGAGACACTAAGAAGAATGGCCAAGTATTGTAAATATAGACTGATGAGGTATGGATCCAGATGCAAACAAAGACATTCGATGGCTTCAAATAATCTGAAAAATAAAACCTTCCTCTTAAGTTTAGTCTTTCAGTGCTAGTAACTACCACTTTTGTCTATTTTAAGAGCTGGAAAGTCATCTTATTTCTTGGTCTCTCCACTTCTTTATATGTCATATGCATAAAATATGGCTTTTAAAGCAGAGTTTAACCAAGAGCTTAGGCCAACAGAATTCGTACAAGCACACCGTAATGGAATCACGAATGGCCTCTTTCAGATCAAACTATATACTAAATGTTCTCTAAAGAGGAGGTCAGAGCAATGCCTCTGAGGGACACAAATGCCTGCTGTGACGTGTACCACTGAGGAGCTCCACTGATCACCTGCACTAAGAGCTCCCCTACCCTGGGGGTCTTTAGGAGGAGGCTCTTTCCTGCATAGGGCAGAGGTTGGACTCGATGATCTGCTAAGGTCCCTTCCGACCCAAACATCTATGAATCTATAAGACAGGGGTTGGCAACCAATGAACCACAGGGTAGATCCACACTGTGGCACAGACAGCAGCCTAAGCAGCAGGGGCAGCATCCCTAGGGTCCTACGACCTGCTCTTTCCATTTTTTCCCTATCCAGCATCTGCTGACACTCCAGCCCTCCATGCTCTGCTCTTATGGGCTACCAAATTTAACTCTTTCCATCGCCACCAGCCACTTGAGTCGGTGGCGAGGATAAGCACAGGTGTAAGACATTTGCACCCCCGGTAGGATTTCAGGTCACAAGCAGTGGTGGCAGGTAGCAGCAAAAGGTTGTTGACCCCTGCTCTAGGGGATATTTTTCTTTATATAATGAATGTGCCCAGTGTTATTAAATCGGCAGTTTTCAAGAGGAGCCAGAGATCTTTTTTCCCAGCCTGAGAAATCCCTGAGGGCAGCAGATCCCTTTGGGACCAAACAATAGGCTCCTGCTTGGAAGGC